TATATATTTTGACATGGCTTTAAAGTTAGATTTTAAGCAGGCAACGCAAGGACATCCATAGCAAGACGTACTTTCCGACAATGGCTGTAGATGTAGCCCTCTACATCAACACTAACGGCACTAGTACATTCATCCAGAATTGCAAACTGCGGTTTATGGTAGAATAATCTAGCCATCTGCAATGCAAAAAGAAATGATAAAGGATTACCATATAGTTCATGCATACATAGAACATTAAATTAAGGGTTTTTTAAAATCTAAGATACCTTTTTAGTTAACCATAAAATATAAGCCGCATTATATGATGGTAGAGATGTCCAAATCACAGCAGTACTATACAGATGTGCATTAATTCCACTACACTCATATTCTCCAGAGAACCTCAGTACCCAAACATCCTCTAGTAAAATGTTAAAGTAAAACAAAGCAAATTTTATACATGGCACATTTTCTCTTTTCTCTTGAAATAAGTGCAAAAATTAATTTCAGAATTAACTGAAAGTATTTTACTAAATTTCTGGCCTCTAAAAGGTAGCAAGTAATGGGAGACTCCTATCTATGACCAAGAACTGCTGCCAGTCTGAATAAATCCTAGATTAGAAGAACAAGTATTCTCAATTGGAATTAGGCAGAATTATTATTTTGAATTGTAAGTAGTCATCTTATATTTATAAAAAAACCTTACTATCAAAAGCAGGCATTGTAACACATTTTGTTTCTATTGAATATTAAATAATTAACCAGCAGGTAGAAGGGTCCAGGATGATGACTGGGGCATCTTTTTACTTAGTTCAGTTCCTTTCAGCCTGCAATTTCCAACAAAGTGGATAGGATGCTCTCTAAGATCTCCTCAACCATCTGTAGTTTGGATCTCTGTCCTTCCTGGTTCCTTCGGGCAGCTAAGGGAGAGGTGAGATCTGGATCTGGGAGATTGTTAATGCCTCACTGAAGGACGGGATGCTACTGGCAGCCTTGAGCAAGGCTGTGGTACACTTCCTCAAGTAGCTCTGTCTGGATCCAGAGGTAGCTCAATAACTATTGCCCAGTCGTCTACCTTCACGTTGGGGGGAAGGTTATTGAGACAGTGGTAGGGAATCAACCATGGAGCACCCTAGAATTAATGGATTTTCTAAGGACTCTACATTCAGAATTCAGGCCTGGATATGCAATGGAGATGACACTGGTTGTGCTAGTAGATGACCTTTGTTGGGACCTAGATGGAGGAAGTGCTTCTATACTGGTCCTCTTAGACCTCTCAGCAGCCTTCAATACCATCAACCATTGTATCCTTCTGGATTGCCTTCAGAGGTGGGGACTGGGGGCACTGTGTTGCGGTGGAACTCCTCTTTCCTTGGTGGACTGTTCTAGTTGGTGGTGGAGGGGCAGAAGAAATCAATTATTATGGGGTGCCTAAGGGAATAATACCCCCTCCCATTTAACATTTACAAAATGCAGGGAGAAGTCATCTGAAGGTTTGGGGTTTGCTATCATCAATATGATGTAGTTAGCTTTACACTGTTACCCAGGGAAGACTGGTAATGCCACTGAAGTTATGCCCCAACTCCTTGAGGCAATGAGGGTGGAGAAAGGAGACTTAAAATCAATCCTAATAAGGCAGCCATTGGGGTTCTCTCTCTGCTCCAGTGACGTCTCCTAATCAGGTGGCATTACCTTGAAGGAACAGGTCTGTGACTTGGGTTTCTTTTAGACTACAACTCCTACTAGAAGATCAGGCGGAGGCTGTGACCAGGGAGGTCTTTTCCAGCTTCAGCTGATGTACCAGTTGTGGCCCTATCTGAAGTGGAAGGATCTTGCTAAAGTGACTCATGCCCTCATCACAACCCACTTAGATTACTGCATCACACTGTACATGGGGCTGTCAATGATCCCTTGGAAGGTGCGGTGCAGTGGCTCATATAGTGACTGATGTTTGCTAGTGGGAGCATATTGCATCAGTACTGTAAATCCTGCATCAGTTGCCAATAGGCTTCTGGGTGCAATTTTAAGTGCTGGTGCTAACCTATAAAGCCCTACATGGCTTGGCACCAAATGATCTGAAGAACTGCATTTTCCCATTGGAATCAGACTGGCCAGTTTCAGCTAATTGGGAGAAACTATTAACAGTGTCCCCCTTTAGAGAGGTGAGTAGGGCCAAGGCTCAGCAGTGCTGTTTTTTAGTGGCTGTGCCAATCTTTTGGAGCAGCCTCCCAGTGAACATCTGGTTGGCTCCCACCCTGACTGTCTTCTGGAAGTTTATCAGAACAGAGCTCTTCTGGAGGACATTTCAGTCTAGATTCCATCTTAGTTTGGTTGATTAATTTAATTTAATGTTGTTTTCAGTAGTTTGTAGACCTTTAATATATACTTTTGTTTGTTTGTTTTTTGTGTACCTTTCTTGTAAATCACCAAGAATTCCTAGGGATTTGGTGGTCTATAAATGTAATGAATAATAATAGTAGTATTAGACCACAGTTTTACTTAAGCTATATCAACATCCTCAATCAAAAGAGGTGCTGGGAAATATACACACATAGTCAAGTGACATTGTGAAGACAACATACCGCCATTCTCTGTTTCTCTCCTCCACTGAGAACATCCATCCAGTCTTGAATGCTATCCCAGCCTCCTTCACGTTCCAAGATCTGACCCAACTGGACATTATCTAAATACTCCTTTAGCACCTGCAAGCAAAACAGTAAACACATATTGCTTAACAGCTTGCAGACACAATAGCTAGTGCCTTACTGTCAATTTATCTAATAGATCCCTCGCCCTGAAATTTAAATTGGTTTAGTTCAAAATATTTTGTCATGTAAATTATACGAAGCAACAGTATTAAATGCTGCAACTGAGCCGAAGTACATGGTAAATGTTATTACTGATGATGTAGAACTCACATATAGTTGGCCTGAAAGTTCTGATTTACTATCCTTCCCTTCCCATTAAGATAGGCAACCTAAGTAACAGTGTGCTGTCTTTCTACAGAACTATAGTTTTTTCTCCAGTTGCTCAGTGATTTAAGACAAATAGCAATGGCATTATCACAGAACCTGGCATTTAATTCACGGAAGCATCAGTGCAGAACTGAACAATTTGTACGTATTGTCTTTTTCTATATAGGAAGCAAAATTCTGGAACTTGAAAATCCATGTGTAGAGTTATAAAATTCCACCTATCTTGAAGACTTAGTAGAAGTTAAAGCAGAAGGGTAATTTCTGTGCAATTACTGATGAACTGATACATCTCTTCTTTACTATATTCATACTCTTTAACTGTACCAGCAGACAGAGAGCTTCATATGTACCTGACTTTTATAGTGAGCTACTATAGAATCAGGATGCTCACATACTAGCACATTTGCTATCTGCCAAGTGGCAAGGTCTATAATAAATTCAGAAAATTAGCTTTTATGATTACACTGCTATGGTAGTTCAGAATTCTAACTGAGCAAATTAAGGTTTCTGGGATCAATGTTGTAATTAACCATTTGAATGAAAAGAAGACATGAATCAATCTAGGAATATCTGAAACACAGATACCAGTATGCAAATGTAAAAACCAACAAAACAATACTCTCTCCAGAAATCTTATTCTGGCACAGTTATCTATAATATGTACATATTTACTTTTTAAAATGTTATATCTTTCTTAGAGAATGAGAAATCAAGATGTGTAGAAACATTTGTAATTTTCTCTTTTTTCTCTGCTCCCAAAGTATCAATTCACAGAGATTGTGGGCATATGCACCTCTCTTGGAATGTACCAATCTAGCTGTTCCAAGTATGGCTTAACTATTCCCAGAAGTTAATCTTCCAAGACAGGAAGTGGTTTGTGTTGTTTGGCATACCATCCATCCCAAAATCGGAGTTTTACATAACTAAGAGATTTACCATTCTGAAATTACATCAACACTGCTTGAACAGGTTGGCTTTGGTGTCAGCTAAATAAGACTCACGTGAAAAAGAGGCTGATATATATATATATATAATATATATATTACCACCCTACTCCCTACTACCACCATAACTCAGACCAGTGAACTTGTATACGCTACAGCTACTGTAATCCTGGAAATGCTTGGCTACATGATCAAGAAGAACAGCAGTACATACACCCCCTAGAAAATGAGATTGAAGGCTAAGATCAAGGCAACCTGGAGAGAAGTCAGTCAGCTGGTAGAACTGGGTGGAGGGTGTGGAGATTAAGGATAAGTATCGGCTACTGAAAAAATACATGGTCCTGACTCCATCTGAAGCCCTAGAGACTGCTAAACAAAGGCTCACAGCACTGGCTGCCAGGCTAAGGAGATACACTAGAGAAGCAGAGGCCAAGAAGATGGATGCCCTGTTTTCCAAAGAACCATCCAAAGTGTACTCCCAACTGCAACCACACAATAACAGCAGAGCCACCAGCAGCGGAAACTGAACAATACTGGAAGAACATATGGGAGAAAGAGAAGACACATAACACCAGTTGAAAGTGGCTGCAGGACCTGAAAGCAGACCACAGCAATCTCCCAGAACAGGAACCAGTCACCATCACAATAGCAGACATCCAACAGCGAGTCAAGAACATGAAGAGCTGGACAGCACCTGGCTCAGACATGATCCGCACCTACTGGCTAAAGAAACTAACAGCAATGCATGAACGCCTAGTAATACAGATGAACCAGCTGCTAGCAGCAGGCTCCCACCCAGACTGGCTAACATAGGAAGGACAGTGCTGATCATGAAAGACCTCACAAGGGAACAGCATCATCCAGCTACCAACCAATAACCTGCCTCCCCACAACGTGGAAAGTTCTATCAGGCATCCTAGCTGCCAAGCTACAAGATCATATGGGCCAGTACATGAACACAGCTCAGAAGGGCACTGGAAATAACACCAGAGGCTCAAAACACCAGTTGCTCATAGATAGAGCAGTCACCCAAGACTCAAGGTCTAGACAGACCAATCTAAGCATAGCCTGGATTGACTACAGGAAAGCCTACGACTCAATGCCACACA